CACAGAGGGCGTTAACTGGTAGGAGTTAAGTACAGAGGGCGTTAACTGGTAGGAGTTAAGTACAGAGGGCGTTAACTGGTAGGAGTTAAGTACAGAGGGCGTTAACTGGTACGAGTTAAGTACAGAGGGCGTTAACTGGTACGAGTTAAGTACAGAGTGCGTTAACTGGTAGGAGTTAAGTACAGAGGGCGTTAACTAGTAGGAGTTAAGTACAGAGGGCGTCAACTGGTAGGAGTTAAGCACAGAGGGCGTCAACTGGTAGGAGTTAAGCACAGAGGGCGTCAACTGGTAGGAGTTAGGAAACATTTAGTTATTTGGTTAATTAAACAGAGGTAATAATTGGTCAACTTGTTTTGTAAATAAACATAGAAGTTCTAATTATCTCCACACGGTAGGGGTCAATTGTTGGACTCCCGTGTTTATCTAGAATCACCTGCTTTGTAACTCTTGGAAAATATCCGTCAAAGAGCAAGGTCACAGTGAAGGTCGATCACTTGTGGTGTAATGGAAAACGAATTGAAACATCTTAAACTGTCAAAGTTCGAGAACAGATTGAGATAGAAGGGAGAGCCTCGAGAGTGTAGAATTGTTTCACGTGTATGTTAGGGGTAGGGATCATATACGTAATCATGCCTTTACCAGTCTATTTAATAAAAATATTAGGTTTCATTAAATAGCGAATAAGCACCAACTACATAGGCATTAGGGGGCGGTAACTGGGTACGTTTAGGGAGCATGCTCTCCAAAAAACAAACACATTAGAGCAACAATTTGTGTTTATTACTATACCTTAGCCGCTGAGATGTAATCGAAATTATCATAAAGGTAGCTATTTTAATAAATAATTAACATGACCTATCTTATACTTCAGTCAATAATTAACATGACCTATCTTATACTTCAGTCAATAATTAACATGACCTATCTTGTACTTCAGTCAATAATTAACATGACCTATCTTATACTTCAGTCAATAATTAACATGACCTATCTTGGACTGAAGTATAAGATAGGTCATGTTAATTATTGACTGAAGTAAATAATTAACATGACCTATCTTATACTTCAGTCAATAATTAACATGACCTATCTTATACTTCAGTCAATAATTAACATGACCTATCTTATACTTCAGTCCCTTTAAGTATAAATTGAACGGTACAACCAATACGGAACCAGAACAGCAAGACTTGGTCTAACAATTTGTTATAAAGAATCAAACTGTGGATGCCCTTTAAGTATAAATTGAATGGTACAACCAATACGGAACCAGAACAGCATCAACTTGGTCTTTTATTCCTCCCAATAGCATTAAAAGTTAGTTAAAAATTAGTAGGACCACAAATTCAATAAGAAGGGTTAAGTCTACTCTGTCGGTTGATGAAAGTACACAAATTTACTTAATTTTACACATTCCAAAGATGTGAAAACAACGGCAAGCACCCACTACATATTTTGATAGCTGGAAGATAATAATCGATAAGATAAAATAATGAGGGAAGAAGTGGATGATCTTAAAGTATAAATTGAACGGTACAACCAATACGGAACCAGAACAGCAAGACTTGGTCTAATAATTTGTTATAAAGAATCAAACTGTGGATACCCTTTAAGTATATAAATTAAACGGTACAACCAATACGGAACCAGAACAGCAAGACTTGGTCTAATAATTTGTTATAAAGAATCAAACTGTGGATATAGGGTTGAAAGAAACCGGTCAGCCGAGTAAGGAGGCATTCCGTAAAGTAGCGTCAGAAATCCACCAAGCTTTCTCACAAATTGGCTTTGTTTACCTCATAAACCATGGCATTTCAAAAGAACAAGTACGTCATGTGATTTTAATGATTTCCTTGGATTTTTTTTTTTCAATATTTATTTTGTTCAGATTGAGATACGGAATTTACAAGAAACAGCAGAAAAACAAATATTTGTATATTTTCTGTTTTCTAGGCTTCCTCCATTTTTCAGAAGTCCCGCGACTTCTTTCTGCTTCCTCTTGAAGTAAAAGAAAAGTACAAGAGACTTCCAAATCATTACGATGGCTACCTTAGCCCGGATAAAGAAATGTAGGTAGAAGGTTGGTGTATAGAAAATGTCGTTGTCAATGTTATCTTCTTATTTTTCCTCATTACTACATTTCTTAAAAAGGCCTAACAATAGTCAATGCTGATATATAAAGACTTATACTGGTTACACACCAAAAACAGTTGTTGCAGTTAAAGTATTGTTTCTTTACCGTTCACACCAAAAACAGTTGTTGCAGTTAAAGTATTGTTTCACACCAAAAACAGTTGTTGCAGTTAAAGTATTGTTTCTTTACGTCCAATATTTATTGTTGTTGGTCCTCTGTATTGTTACAACCCATAAGGAAACATGTCCAATGTTTATTGTTGTTGGTCCACTGTATTGTTGCAACCCATAAGGAATCATGTCCAATGTGTATTGTTGCTGGTCCTCTGTATTGTTACATCTCCATATTGTTTTTTTATAACCACATCTTAGATTCGTAAAACACGGTACTGTAACTGAATTTCACAACTCAATATTAGAATCACTCAAATATTAATTCATTTAAAATTCATTAATTGCATTATTTGATATTTCCAAATGACATTTCATTGCCCTTCAGTGGCTCAGCGGGAAGTCTGAAGGCTTATAACGTTAAAACCCGGGTTTAGATACTCGTGGTGAGCACACCACAGATAGTCCACTGTGTAGCTTCGAATTATGTAGTATGATGTTGTTAATTTTTTGTTGTTAAAAGCAGAGCTACACATTTGAGGTCCCTGTAGAAGTGTTTTCGCGAAATACCCGGGTTCCCTAAGGGGTTTGGTGAAAAGTTTTACCTTTGTGCAGATCTCTGGGCAGGGCTGAGACGATTCGTTTGGCACCATTTAGAAGTTGGTGAGTCCAGCAGTTTAGAAGAAGGGGTTACATAAGACACACACAGAGGGACTGTAACGTATTATATAGGTGACTATTGTTTGTTTGTTTAATTTAACAGAAAGCTACTCGAGTTCTATCTGCGCTAGCCATCCTTAGTCTTAACTTCATAGATTAGAGGGAAAGCAGCTAGTCAACGCCACCCACCGCCAGCTCTTGGGCTAATCTAGTCATACAGAGTAGTGGGATTTGACCGTAACTCTCATAACGCATCGACGGTCCCAAAATGCTGAGAGCAATTTTGTTGTTGTTGATGTATTTATTTATTTACGCTAACAGAGTGCAAACCCCAGAAACTATGGCCATTCACTTTCTCATTCATCAACTGGAACTTACAGACATCACCCATTCGGCCAGTAGAAAAGGCGTTCACAACACTGTTGTTATAAAAAAATGGCTTAAATAAATAGTGTTTCAACCATTGCTGTTTTTGTTGTGTCCCAGCCGGCCTGATAGGCTCTAGATTGAGCGAAACGTGTTGTCGTTAATGGATATTGCGAATATATATAAATACTACTGTTATACACTCATCTAATCCTTAAACCCCTAAGGGACTAGATAAAGAAGCCTAATATTAATGTCAACTATAGTTTATTATAATCGTGCTTCTTTAGCTTGACACCAAAAACAGTTGTTGCAGTTAAAGTATTGTTTATGTTTCCTTATGGGTTGTAACAATACAGAGGACCAGGAACAATAAACATTGGACATG